GTATGCACACATAGATAGAGTGATGTGATTAATGGCACAGCACAAGTTTAGAATGGAACATTATATGTTTATAAAAAAACCTAAAAATATAATATATATATACTGTATTGTAATGCTACTACAATATAATAGTCAAAAATTTTTCAAAACTTTTCATTGGATTCAGTGATAAAAAAAAGAAAAAAATTGGTCATTGTAGAAAAAGAGAAGTAAGTAGTTTGTACACATTTCTACTAAGGCATAATGTTTAATGCCTTTGGTTTAGTATGATGACTGAATCCTTCTTTATGTTCTGTAAATCATTGCTTATGACTTAGTGTTATCTGCAAATCACACCACTTTGGCTTGTTTAACAAACTATGTTTAAAATAAAGCATTAAGCATTGAAGATGGGCTCCAGCATGAGTCTGAAAAGCTCAGAAGACTAAAGCTCTGGTCCTGGTGACCGACTCAGGTTGGATCCCATTTTATCCTGGGACACGTATATATTCACCTTCATTTGTGAAAAGAAACCATAGCTTAGCATGATCTGCAATCCAAGCTAAAGTGATGTATATGCTGTTCCCACAAGTACCCAGTTAGTAGCATTGGAATCAAAACATTTGACTAGATATGCCTTTCATCTATTGCATAAGTTATTGTATTCTGAAAAGAAATAAAATTGTATCACTTTATAATTGAAAATAATATATCTTCAATGATTAATATCTTTTTTCTATAATTGTTTCAAATGTATTAATTAAAATGAGATCTGCAATATTTGGAAAGTTATATTTAAGTAGATTTGTCATTCAAAAAAAAACTGTTTCCATCTTGGCATGGAAATAAAGGTCAAATCTGACCTCTCTCCCATTTTTCTCAAGTATGTCACTTAGAAGCTCTCGTTTCTGGGCACATTTACAGAAAACCCTGGCATACTAGAGAACATGCTGTTAATAATGGGCAGGAACTGTGTGCCGAGAAGAGAGAGAGTACCTCAAGTGCTTAGAGAGGAGAAAGCCACAAAATGAAGAAATCGAACAGGCATGTTTACAATATCTCTTTAATGATAAACCAGTCAGGACTTTTGGCAATAATCACCTTCATATGCCACTCATATATTGAGGGAATTGGGACACTTATGATAAATTAACTTCCTTGCATCACCACATGTGATAGGAAGCTAATAGCACCAGATTTTGTAACAACTCATTTTATTCTGACAGGTAGGAAAGTTCACCCCAATATATTTGGCATGCTAAGACAAATATTATGAAAGAAATCTAAAATAGGAATCCAGTTCTGTTTATTAATAGCAGCTTTGGAAGAAGCAAAAATCAAGCAATGTAAAACCCACTGAAATTATATGGCGATTATATGGCAATCTCCCAGAATGCTATTCTTGTATTCTAAAAATATAATTATATTACTATTACAATTGCAGTTTCAATTTTTAAAACTTCCTGCAATGCATTGCATGTGACTTAAGGACAAATTGTATGCTATATTTATGCTGATTTTTTTAAAAAAAAAATAAAAGCCACAGAATTGGGAAGGATTGGACTCTTCACCTACAGTATATGTGGGGTAACAGTGAAATCCAATCCCACCCCAATAGTAGGAAGTAATAGTAGCTCACAGAGAGCTAAAAGAGTAATTTGCTTTCCCATGTGTTCTAACCTTAAATAGAGCCACTGTATCTTTCAATTTAAAAGAAAATCAATATGTCTATGGGTTTTCAACACCTCCTAGATTTTCTCTAATTTTCCTTCTATTAATACTTGCTTGGATATTTAAGTCATCTATGGGAGCCCACCTTATACCTTTTTAGTAGGCCTGGAGCTATAAACAAGAGAATCTTTTCAGGGGTACCATCCTCAAATCAGCTACTCATAATTGTCACCTTTGAATCCTTTCTCACCAAGAAGACTCTGTTACTCAACAGAAATAGCCCCTTCCTACTCCACACTAACTAGTTTTTCCTTTGCCATTGATTTTGCTGCCTCACGCAGGAATCCAAATTAAAATACCCATGACAAATGGCTATCTAGTCTCTCCTTGAATTCATCTAGTAGAGAGCCTACCCACCTCACTGATAATTGGATCTAGTGTCAATTGCTGTTAAGAAATGGCTTAGTATGGGGTGTGAATCCAGCTATTATCATGCAGTCAACAAAGTGTGGTTAAAACCATGGCCTAGTATGGTATATAAGCCCAGTCAGTGATTATGGTACTCTTAAACTTTTATTGTGGCTTTTAATAAAATGTTGTGGTATGAAGGAGAGGTAATCCTTGACTTACAATCATTTGTTTAGTGACCATTTAAAGTTTCATTGGCACTGAAAAAAGTGACTTATGACCATTTTTCGTACTTAATGTCTGTAGGAAATTCCATTCCCCTATTCAAAACATTTCTGTGTCTCTGCAGTTCACAACTCAGTAGCGGTTCCTAGCCTGGGGTTCATGTGCTGTTGAGGTATTTTTCCTTTCCTTTGGTTATTATTCCTTAAAAATGTGAAATTGTGTTTCTTTAAAGATTTTCCCCTTCCCCTTTTTAATTTTTTTTCCCTATAAACAAATGTTTAAATACTTCCTTCTGGACTGTGGGGCATAGCGTTTTGACTACTCCGTTGAGAAAAGTATTCAGTGACTCGTTTATCTATTGTTTTTAGCTGATACCACCTCCATCTATTCAACCAGATTGCTTTTGTTACTTCTCTTTGCATTTTTCCACATCTCACCATTTCTCCCAAACATTGGTTATCTATCATGATGCTACATAAGCCCAGGAACAGCCTTGCTACACATCTTCTTTTAGCAGAGAGGATACAGGGCAAGACTTAAATGGCTGAATCTAAGGTTATAATTATTATAATTCCAGGTTCTTGACTCACCTTTTTGAAAGTGTCATGTAAAGCTTGCTAGAGAGTCACATTTGTATGCAAAGGAAGAAATGCAGTATTATTCCTTGGGGTTTTTTTCTAACCTTCCCTGCCCATTATCAAATTTTATGTACTGAGAATGGTGGACTAGAGATTCATTCAGAAAATTCCCTGCATTTATACAATGTGGCAAAGTACATTCTTTTAACACTGCACTCTTTTGATCATACTGGAGAAGAAGAAAAAAACATTTCTATGTTCTTCATTAAACAAATGCCAAATGCTTATACTAATTAATAGCAATTATGCTGATTGGATGGATTTCAAAATCAGATGCGGTAGTGTGCTGAAAACATTTTTTTTTGTTTCCAGGAGGCAAATAAATAACCAGAAAAGATGCAACCTAAAGTCAGATAAGGACTGTGCATTTTTTTAAAAAAAAAATCCTGTTCTTTGGCCATGAGGAAGAATGGTTGCTTTCTGATTCTGAATAAAGAATGTTATTAGGAAGCTGGCAACACAATCTTGTCTCCCATAACAAAGGACTGTGACCCAGAAACTGTCCAAGCTCCAGTACCTTGCTGGTGGCATCAGAAGGGCAAACAAGGAGACATTTGTATCTTGCTATCTCTCTTTTTTCCCCCAAATCATTTCTCTTCCAAAGGAAAGTGAAGAAAATTGCATTGTAGATTTTTCTTTCCAATGTTAAAAGCCCTTTCTGCCATTTTAGTGAGAATCTGAAGGATCCTGTATTTGCCTAGTTACAATCTCTGGCTATAGAACTGTCCCTGTTTCTTATAATTACAACAGGTGTGTACAAAACATTTCAAGTTGGCAAAGAGCAGCTTTGAGTTCAAAATGTATGGCTCCAACCTCATTGATAAATTTGGAGGCTTTTCTAACTACTGTATTTTGGAAATGTTTTGAGCTTGAGCATCTTTGTAAATTTGGCTGTTTGCATAATCTGTTTGTGTAATTTGAAAGCTTCATCACAGAAACACATTTGTTTTTAAACTAATCTTCCATAAATAAGTAAAATTCAGTCGCACTGTTCAGTTAAGAAGAGATTTTAAAAAGTGGTTAGGGAAAAGAAGTACAATCCCAGAATGAAATCATTTGAATAATTCATGAGTTGAGTTAAATGAAAGGATCCCTGGAGTAGCACTGGAGGAAGACAAAGAATGAATCCAATTGGGTATAGGTGAAACCCTTTGTTAGAGCTTATCTTGTGATGATGAGAGTAGAAACAAGCTTCTTCCTCTGCTCTTATATCTTTGGAAAGTTAGCAGCACTGTTTTGAGCAACCAGGTATCTTGTTGTTTTAGGGAGATCTTCCAGGACAGCTGTGAGGACTATTTTAGACATCAGTCAGATAAAGCTGCTCTGAGTTGGACTTTGGTTGGGCAAGTACAATGGAAATGACATAAACCCATTTGTTGCTCAGTTATCTGAGAAGAGTTTCATCAGGTTAGACCTCAAGATGTTGACAGGGTCCTTGGTGCTGCAAGTTCTGCCATCTGAGCTCAGAATCCATGCCCCCCCCCCGCAGTTGGCAAAGGCCTCTTGGAAAGCAGCACGGACTGGGTCTAAGTAGTGATTAATGCCTCCTTATAGGGGAGGGTGGTTCTACACGCCTTGAAGGAGACAATTGTCCATCCTTGGATCCAGCAGCATTGGATAGTCTAATCTTTTGTCCAGACTGCAATCTTCCCTTGTTTAGTGTTGGTAAGAAAACTAGCCCTAGGTGACTTTTATGTGGGATGTCTCAGGACATAGTTCTCCTGCCATTGCCATTTAACATCTGCATGAAACTAAGCTTCCTATACTAGTGATATATTGGAAATCTGGTTACATCAGAGAATAATGTTTAAATGGAATTGGGCAAATATGTCCCTTTTCTCAAATAAAGTAGTCGATATCTGTTCTTTTCTTCTACACTGAATGTCTAGAGAATTTAGTACTTCATAGTTCAAAAGTGTCTGAAGGTTAAAGAAAGCAATATGAAGTATTAAAAATATAATAGTTAAAACCTCTAGAGTCTTCCTTGCATTCACTTTTAAAGGGTTTGTTCTAAAGTTGAACAGATTTATGAGCAGACCATTAATTTTTTTTCTTGATTTATTCTCTCCTGTTCTATAGGCTGTTCAGTATTAAATCGGGACTAAGATAGAAGCATTTAAATCAATATCCAGAACCATAGTATTCAGGTAAGACATTCATTACATATGCTGTGCATGAAGTTGTGAATGGGTAGTAATAAGATCAGACTAAAAGCCAATAAGATGGAGTAGCTGTTTGTCTAAAAACAATCATTATCATGATTCTGTTGATAACTTTGGAAGCGGGTTCTACAATTTGAAAGGTTCTCCTGGACTCATAGGTCTTCCTGGATCACCTGCTGGAGACCATGTCCAGAGGAATCACAGTATCCCAGCAACAGTGATTCATCCTTTCATCACCATATGGTTCAACTATTATATTATGGATTATAAGTGAGTTCCTTTGAAAATAAGGAACTATGTTATAAAATATGAATATTATATTCTGCAAAACTTTTAAAATGGTACAGTTTTGAGATTGATTTTTGAATGCTGTTATGAGTTTGTATAATGACCACAGTCCTATCTAAGTTTGCTTATAACTTGATTACCTGAAATTGAAAAGGAGAAGGATCTCATGCTATTTAACAGGCAATTCTGTATAGCCAGATGAATGCCTTCTTTTAAACCGAAGCTTCATATTATTGGGGGATGACAGGGGTATTTGGATTCAACTGGGTTATGTTCTGAAGCTTATCATTAAATTAATTTCCTGATTCTTACTGTAGTGAATCATGTTATTGCCTGAATGATTTTAATGCCCCCAACCCTCTAATGAGATAGCTCTCCTGTTTACCTATGCTGGATCATGGAGCAGCAGTAGCTACCATAGGAGGAAACATGGTTGAAAGTACTGCATTTTCCATCTGCTTCACTGTTGCTCAATTTGATTTCCTGAGTTGTTTCTTTGTGTATGTATCAAGGGGGAAAAATCATACATACATATATATTCACCCAGCCATGTATAGTTGTCATGCTGTTCCCTTTTCATAAAAGAAAAAGTTACACAAAGTGAAAAAAGGAGTAAAAAGATAGTAATCCAAAAGTTATCTCACAAGGATAGAAAAAAAGGAAACAAATCTAATTCTAGTTTACGCTGATATCATTTACTAATCCTCTCTATACTTTTGTGCTCATGCAAGCCATCCTTGCTTATCCATATACCACTTCTTGCATTCTCTGTTATTCTTTATACTTCTCACCTCTCTCATTTTAAAGAATTCATCAATTCAGCCTAGCTAAAATCTTCTTGTCTTTTTGAACCATTTATTCTCCAGGTCTATATTTGATAAATGTTTTGAGTTTCATTAATTCTCTCTGTATGATTAATTATCTCCAGGAGGTTTTTTTTTCCAGTGATTGCTCACTTTTATATGCAGTTTGCATTCAATCAGCAAGCATTCATTCTTGATTTTCTCTCTCTGTTTTATCATACCCTTCTGAACCCCATTCCCACTGTATTTGACCTACTTTTATGTTTCTCCCCACATAACCAACTCTCCTTTCTGTATAATAGATATGCAGATGTATGCTACGATACCTAGTCATTTTTGCTTCTTTTGAAGAATATTTTTTGTGGTGATACCAACTAGTAATCAGGGTCCTTTTGAAAGCGCCCACACCAAACATTTCTGCCCCCCCCCCAAAAAAAATCCTTGCAAGTTTTGACAGATGGCTACACTAACTAGTCTAGCTATCTTCCAAAATGCATCTCCATGTGGAAAAGAGATTCATGGAGGGTTTCCTACTGTAATTTTGGAAACAGAAAGGAAACAAAGTTGAGACAATGCACCAATCCCTGTCCTTAGCATGCCCAGTGAATGAATGAATAAATAACAGTAAATAAAAACAGTGCCATCTGCCAGCTTTGTGCCAATAATAGAATCCTACCCTGTGAAGCAGCAAATTTCATATTACAGGTAGTCCTCGACTTGCAAGCATAATCAGGACCAGAATTTCTGTTGCTAAGCGAGGCAATTGTTAAGTGAGTCACTCCTGGTGTTACAACCTTTTTTTTTGCCATAATTGTTAAGTGAATCACTGTAATTGCTAAACTGAATCATGTGATTGTTGAGCAAACCCAGCTTCTCCCATTGACTTTGTTGGAAGCCTGCTGAAAAGATCACAAAAGGTGATCCCAGGACACTGTAGCCATGGTAAATACATGCCAGTTGCCAAGTGCCCAAATACTGATCACATCTTCATGGGCATTACTTTGACAGTTGTAAATGCTAGAACAATTGCAAGGTACTTTTTTCAATGCAGCTGCAACTTCAAACAGTCGCTAAACAAATGGCTGTAAGTTGAGGAACTGCCTGTAGTATAATTTTCTCAAAGATTGGAGTACAGCACTTTAATGTGATTAAAAATAAAAGCCTCAAGTTAGCATCACTGAGCAATCACAATTCAGGCCTAGAGTGTGAATATGACTCGGGTACAATTAGTTAGGAGGCAGAAAAAAGATTCTACCAAATTATGAGAAATATTTTCATTACCTTGATTCAGAAAGTATTAGGCAAGTTCACCACATTTGTAATAAGAACTTTTACTAGAGCCCATTACAGTCTGATATATCTGAAAGTAATTGGTGCAAGTTATTTGAATAATTGATGTCCCAGTATCACAATTTTGATATTACACCTCAGCTAGGCAAAGATGTCTCCAAGTCCCTCTAGTCCTTGAAAACTGTAAAATAAAACTGTAAAAAAACTCTGTAAAATAAAAAAGTTTATAAAATGATATAAGATCCCAGCCAAAATGACTAAAACCAGTGTGTTGCCATACTGCAGGGAAAAATAGGATTAGTGAAAACTATCTACAATTATAATAAACATGTCCAAAGATAAATAGATAGCAAGTAATTTTTTTTACTATATAATAAAATAACAATATGTGCTGACTATATTAACATGATCAGGACAGCTGGATGTCCCAGGTTCTGAAATGATTCTAGGTACATATATGCAAACTTAGTAAAGGATTTTATTAGCAAAATTCCAGCAATCATAGATATAAATGTATTAAATATATATCAAAAAAGGAATGGAGTGAATAATAATGGCATATTAAAGATAGACACATACACAAACAACACTTACAACAAGAAATTTTATGGCATAAGGCATTTAAAGTTGATTTTTTTCTCATTTTTATAACAAAAATATTTTCCTAATAATTATATATAATTAATGCTATAGTAATTTGGCTGAATTTGCCATTTTTGCTTTGTAAGCTAAAAGAAAGCAAAAGCATAGATCTCAAGGGTGTTTCTGTTAGATGGTTTGCTTATATCTTCATTATCTCTTCCACAAAACAAACTATAATTTATTGGCTCAATACATACAATTAAACTGTAAACCCAGGTGGCCAGGACAAGAGACAAAATTAAGCCAAAATGTAATAAATTGCTTTAAGACTTAGTGTATTGGACAAATGTAGTCCTTAACACTCATAGGATACCCACCCAATTCATTTTCTTCTGTGTCAGTGCTTTGTGTTGATCTGGCTAGGATACAAAGTTTGAATGCAGTTGAAAATGTTCAAAAGGTGTTTTTTTTTAACAGTACAGTCTGTGTATTTTCTAGCATTGTTGTTTTTCAACCTTTTGTTAGAGTCTGTCCTCAGTCATCACTTGGTGTCCTTGGCTGCAGGGTTTGTTGCAGACCAATAGCTACAGTGCTGCTGAGATGTTGAATAAATTCACAGATTTTCAAGTCTGGCCTATCTTTCTCCTCTTCCCTTCTTCTCCCCACCATCCTGGACAATTGAATGTGTATCCTTTCATTGATGGTCCGCATATGTTAGCAACAGATTCATGTGCCCAGCATCTCCAAGAGATGTTTGGATGGATGGCTAATGATGAAAGTATGAAAAATACAGAAGTTTCAGATTTGAGAGGAACGGCCATTATGTCAGTTCTGAAATCCTTATTAAAATGAAGCTGGTAGTGAGTCAGAATTTAAATAAGAAAGGGGTGTTATCAAAGGATGGATATGCATTTGTTTTGTTTTCAACTAATTTCAAGCACATACATTATTTTCCATCTCTAATATCCTGCTGAATCTTTCCTTCTGCAAAACTCTTAAGTCATAAAGATTCTGTTCAGTAGGCAATCTGACAAGTGTAATTTGCAGATTCTTGGATATCAGCTCTTTTGCTTGGAGAAAGTTGGAATATTCAGAAATACCCTGCTATTGGAGGATGGACAAGGAGGGATGTGTTTCTCCCTCATCAAAGGACTTCTGCATGAATTAAACAATTCCAATCAACTTTTTATAATCTCTCCATCATACCAGACTGATTAAGTGCAAGCAGCTGAAAAATTCAAAGTATTTCACTTCATTCTTATTTTAAGTTCTGTTTTAGTTCTCCCTTAGAAATTATAAGCATAGTTCCTTCTTATCCCTTGCTTAGTTCTAGATTAAAAAGTAGTCCTGTTTTTCAGGAACATGCCTATTTATATTTTCAATGCCTCAAATAAGTAGGTTGTCTCAAAAGATCTCAAGTATGTCTAATGGAAGAAAAAATATCTGTTTTTTTCTAGTTTATTTAATTTAATTTAATGATTATCTGTTCTTGGTAGCATGAATCCACTGAATGTAAATGGAAGGAAGCCTATTTCTTTAATTTTATTTATTTATGTATCATATTTATATGGCCACCCATCTCACAAAAACATGAGTTTGGTGTAGTGGTTAAGGTGCTGGCCTAGAAATAGGAGACTGAGTTCTAATCCCACCTTAGGTATGAAAGCCGGCTGGATGGCTTTGGATTAATCACTTTCTCTCACCAAACTCAGCTCATAGGATTGTTGTGGGGAAAACATGAGGAGGAAGGGATATTATGTATGTTCGTTGCCTTGAGTTATTTTAAAAAAATAATAAAAGTGGAATAATTTAAAAAAAGATCAGTTGTATGCTGGAAACTGGGGGAAAAGAATCCCAAAGATACTTTTTCATGAGGCAACTGGACTTTCTTGTTTTTCTTTGAAGTCGTTTCACTTCTCATCCAAGAAGCTTCTTCAGCTCTGGATGGTGGGGAATGGCAAGATTTATGCTCGTTGCAGACAGCTGGTCACTTGCATTCTTTTAGTGAGTTGTTAATGCTAC